TTTTTTCCGAGCCCTCTCATTATATACCCTAACAATTTCAACTATGTCTTTCTGGTGCTAAGTACCATGTCACTACTAACTCATACTAGCATGATCTTCAAAAAGAATCAGAATCATTGTGTTCGTATAGATGCTTTCGCAATTCGTTGAAAGTAAACTAAGTGCTCTGAAAATATAATCTTGTGCTAAAGTTATTTTTCCAAGAAGTACAAAAAATAGAAGCCCCGAATTTGACAAAATATTGATTATTTTGGGAACTAGATAATGAATTTAAGATGGTGTTATCTCTACGTTAAAAACGATCTTGAGTCACATCTTGCCACCGTTGGGAGGTGGCTAAATAACTCATATTGGTGCATTGCCCAGAGGAAGGGATTTTATTAACTACCATTAAACAGATGAAGTTCACTATGAGAAAAGATCATAATTTAGCATATTTGTTAATAGGTCATCCAATAAAAAAGTACCTGTACCTCCCCCCCCCAAAAAAAACGAAAAAATGAAACGAAAAGGATTAAAAAGAAAAAGGGCAGCTTGCAAATGTGCTATTTTACCGAGCTTCCTTTTTTTATCCTTTACGAAAGTAATTCCTCGATCTCATATGTCACCACGATTCTATCTTTCATTCTATGTTCGCATAATCACACATGTATGTACACCGAGTCAGCATTGTTAACACTTTTCAATTGAAGAAAAATCACAGCTATTTACGAGTTTCTTTATTTAATACCTTTGCATTGAGAAACACATAGTACATTGTATCCACGTAGACCAAAGGCAAAACCTGAGATTCACTTTTGTTCCGTTTAAATGAAGAAAGAAAAAGCGCTAGGTATGGCCGACTGAGAAGCAATAATGTCCTCTTCCCTGCGTCATATTTTGTTTCCCTTTCACTTAAAATCACAATTCTACTATCTTAACATATATATTTGCAAACAGTCTTAACGAAATGTAGTATAATTGTTTCTTTTCTTATTTGTTGTTCACTTAAAAGTTATATTTGCATATATTATTTATGAGAAACCACTGCAGAACTGAAGTGACTACAAATCATAATTATTGCATCTTATGTCAAATATGCAACCCAAGTTTAAAAAAAAAATATTTGTAATATTAAGCGAAATCGCTAATTTTACAGTATATGAATTGAGTTTTCAATTTAAGAGATACATGTGTGTAGGCAAATCCTTTTCCCCGGGGCATTACGTAAAGGCATATCTACATATGTACATCTTTTGCATGAATTAATCTAATTATCATAGTCTTTACTACTTTTATACATGTTGATCTTTAAAAGTTAAAAATAACTAAATTATCCGTACTTATATTGTCTTCTCCCAAAAACACATCGATAAATGCAACATAATTGAGTATACTAGTATGAAAAACACAGCTAATTACGAAAATATTGTGTCTTGTAATTTTGTGCAATATTAAACGGGGCACTTTATCGATAATTTTCTACGTAGATTAAATTATAGTTGACAGAGTTGATATTTAGGAAAGTATATATACATACATACATACATATATATATATATATATATATATTGCATGTCTATATATATCTATATGCAGATACTCCAAAGAATAATGAAATGTTAAAATGAAAAAAGCCCCAAACTTAAAAACAAAGTGTTATTATTAAGAAGAAAGACCAAGGACTTTTTTTTATCCCTTCTAGAACCTTGGAAATTTTGAATAAAAATCTTGTTTCACTGGTGTCAATGGGGAGCCATAACTTAGTAAGGGGAATTTTAGCGTCTTTTTGTGATGAAAAACACATTGACATGGAAATTCTTTCAAAAATCAGATTGTCGGATTTTATAAATATATTAAGAGTTTAATTTAGGCTAATTGCAGTTTTATGCTAATCTCTAATTAGAAATACATCATCAAGGATCTTGTTGATATAAAATAATGTCAAGAGAGCGAATTAATGTCCACCAATGAAAATTGTCGTTTTACAGTGAGCGGCAGAAACTTCACAAAGACAAGAAAATAATGCAATTTACGTCGGGTTAGTTTCTGAGTAAAATATACATATATGAACACGCATACAAACAAACACATAAATATCTATCTATCTATCTATCTATCTATCTATCTATCTGAACAAACCTTTGTCTATATGTATATATATCTATATGTATATAGAGTATGATTTTAATACTGACTACACACAATATTTTGATAATTATTGAGGCAATTTACTATTGTTTTCGCACATGCTAATGGTTGTTTGCGTGTCAAACAATTGTACCTACGTGTATATTCGAACGCTTTCAACCGTCATTGATTATTTACAAGAACGGAATAGACTAAAGTAAATTAAAATTCAGAAAGTCTGATGTATTTTTCCGTCATGGTTTTGGACGGTTATAATTTGAAATTTGATATGTAATGGTGTCAATTTGCTGGCCGCTTGCGGTATTGTGTAAACTGGGTTTGTGTTTTTATTAACTGTTGAACATATTTAATAAACTTCTCCCTTGAATAAAAAATATATTTAATGTATTTACTTATGAATATTATACAATTTTATTAATATCATAATGTTTTATGAATATAATAATATTTAAGCTCTTGGCATTAATCTACTTAAAAATAAAGAAAAAGATTTGGTAATATAAATCTTATCTTTGAAAAATTAATATGTATTCATAAAAGCAGAATGAAATAGTTGTATTAATGCAAAAAAACAGGCATTCTCCACTATTAAAAATAAAGAGAAATTGAACTATTCAAAATATTTCCTTGTTACATGTTTCCTATAGGTAATTATCCTGTAGTTGTATAAGCAAAGACACTACATGTACATGTACAAAAAGTGAAAAAGTACAATTGTTATTTTGTTTTAAAAACTGCGTTACGTTTTCACTTTTTATAGATGTATAAATAACGTGACGAAACGCATTTGCTGTAGCTGGAGTAATTCTAATTTCCTCTTTAATTAAATACGCGCATTAAAGTGGTATAAGTGGAGGAATTAAATAATTCCTAACACTATGCAAATTTCCTCATGCCTGAAACTTTAGCATAATTAGAGGCCAGAGGTCAATCAGATATTAACATTTTACGCGAAAAGAAAAAAAGCTCTAGTGAAAAAGGTTAATATAATCGTTGAGCACGGGTAAAAAAGGCTAATAAAACTATTGAGCACGAGTAATTGAGTTGCCAAGACGAAATATGTACTAATGAAGCAATCTAACTATATTCATTAAACCTAGTATTTTAACAAAAGTTTTTATTTACTTTGATACTTTCTAGCCTGGCATAAAATTTGTGAATGCAGACAATAAAATAAATATAATGAACGGTTTGCATGTAAGAATGTTAAAGCATTTAATCAAAATAACGAAAATATAATTTATATTTAATGAATAGAGCAGAGCACAGTTTTATTAAATTATTTTGTTGCAAAATGTTTGGATATATATATCTATTTCTGTGTCATATATGCAAAATCGAAAAATAGACAATTGGTTTGTTGTTTTAAGTACTCTCAAATATCCAACTGATATCTTGGCTTATCTTATCTATTTTTGTTTGTATTTATTTACTATTTCTGAATGCGAAGCTTCTTTTGTAGTATTCGTTACGTAGTTTTAACTTGATCTCCACAAGATTTGAATCTCGTGCGAATCTATCAGATATTTCACAATCTGAAATTACTTTTCAACTTATTATATATATATATATATACTTTTCTAATTGATGTTTTCAGCTAGAGACAACAACACGTGAATAATCGGCCTTGAAAGGAAGTATGAACTTCACATATTTCAATAAGAGTAAACATCAAGTACTTAATATTACAAAAGTAAAGAGTCGAGATAAAAAAATATTCCGTAAATAGTTTTTTTACAATCTAATCCAAGCAATAGTTTTTTTTTTAATTCTTTGGAAAGATTACCGTTATAATCTCATCACATCATTATGCGTAAGCAAACAGGAAATTCATGACGACATATAATTATTGCAAATTTGGTGAATAATCAGCATTTGACTAAATGGATGTAAGTAGTAAGGCTATTTTTCTCCTTTGTCTCGCACAAGACCATAAAATATAAAAAGAAAGAAAAACAAATGACGGTATGTAGTTCATCGGAAGAATAGGCTAGTTGGCATTGATAATTTCTTCCTCCTATGTAGAAAAGATTTGTCGTTCTTTGTTCTTCAGCATCGCACTATATGAAATTCCTTCACATTAACATTTGGACTAAAATTCACTAACAATAATCAACATGGAAATCGAGTTGATTTCTGGTTGAGAAATCCTTTTCATTTAGTCTCCATTCTCTTCATCCATTCAACCAGAATATTTCCTCAGTCGTTCATCTGTAGGCAATAAAACTGAAGCTAGACACAACAATATTTTCAGTAAAATTCATTCTATCATGAATCATAATAATTTGAAAGGAACAGCTATTGCAAAGCGGAAGGAGTTTTTATTACCACCCAAATCGGGGGCTTGCAGACGATCGAGCGGATAACTTACATTGTGAGCACTATTTTTCAAAATTTATCGCCTAGAAGCATATTAAAAGCAGATGTTTTTGATGTTTTGCAGACAATAAACACTAGCTAGGTGGGTGAAAATACATACGTATATTTACATGTGAAGTTACTGAAAATGGATTTCACATTTTTAAAGAGAGATAACAAAATATATGCTAGTATTTTGTGAATTAGAGACCTTTCCAACTTTTCTTGTTACAATCAAAATGACTTACCATCATTACGTTAGTAAATACTGGGATATGAGAGGATGTTTATTAGCATGTAATTGGATTAAATACTATCTATATGTCTTCGTCCTGACCAAAGATTACAACATTCATCACAAAAAACACAAAAGATAGTTACATATTCTTGCCTACATCTAAAGAAGTCTTTGTAGAGATAGTTTATTTATTAGAGCCCAAAGCTAACACTGATTGCTAAAGTCGTTAAACATTCAAGTGGATCTTGTAACCAAATTGATCGGCTTACAGAGTTACGGCCATTTCACAATGAAACATCGGTTCTCGTACGATCCCCGAAGTTAAGCAATGACGGGTCTGGTCAGTACCTAGATGGGTAACCTCTTGGAAATGCTCAAGCCCTGTTAGCTTGGATGTGCGGGTGTTGTAATTAATGATAACTGCCCGGAATTAGAAGTTCCAATTCCAGTCAGGTTCGTTATATTGACTTACGGGCAAATGCCCATGGAAAATGTATGAATTCACATCTTCTCACCTTATCTATTGGTTAATTAGTAGGATGCCTATTAGTAATCCTTGTAATCTCCCCACTATCAAAAACTTACAATCTAAAACTATTTTCTGGATTTAAATAAATTACAAAAGGTTGAGAAACCGTAAAAAAATCACTCCGCATAAAGAATTTCATTTTTAATGAAGGAAAATATTAAAAGTTGATGTTGAAATGTTTACATTTCAGGAAACAAAAATTTAGCGAAAGGAAACCCTACATACGCAATTTAAGTTAGAGTAGAGTAATATATTAAGTCATATATTAAGTCATATATGAAGTAATATATTTTCGCATTCATATGCTACTCTGAAAATATTGATTGAAAGATCAATTGACAATTGATTAATTCAGTAATATACGAAGTACTCTTATTGTTAAGGTGTTACAGAATATTGATTTTATGTGTTACTTTTTTAACTCGTAGATTTTTTTTTTAATCTTCCGACATAAGTTTCTATTTTCTTTCCAACTTTAATGCTCTTAACGATACGCAGTAAAAAAAAAAACGGAACATTTGGTAGAGATATTTCTTTTTAGAGAACAATTTGTCAAGCTTCATTAGTATTTGCTTTGTTTAAAATACATTTTAAAAAGTGCTCACGAAAAGAGTTTGTTGACATTTTTAGTAGGTTAAAAGCATATAATTCATGGTTTAAATATAAAAATAGGATAAAATAAAATGAAAAGAAACTGTTTATTATTTAAATATTGTAAGAAATTCAGGCTAATTAATTCAAAGCATATAATTTTGAAAAAATGACAAAAGGATTTTTTCTTAGGAGATATATACATGAATGCTGTAAGCGTAATTTGGAAACATTTATTCTGTTATACATATAAAGTATTATATATATAAAGTAACACATAAAATCAATTCTGTTATATTTTTTATATAAAGTAAATAAATGATAAGACTAATGTTTATAACATAGACTTTTTGAAAGATTTAGAAGAAATTAAATTTGCTTTTTTTCGGCTTGTATCATTCATTGTCAATAGCTTAATTTCTTAAAAGTTGATATAAATTCTATTTGTATATAATACTTGGCCCATAATTTACCAGTTTTCCAAGTTACAAATTTGATTTTGCAATGAAAAATGCAATTTATTTGTTTTACATATTCTGTATATTTGATTCAAAAACAAAAGATGATTCAATAATGTTGGTAAACATTTTTAAACTCTATCGGTAAATTCGGTTTCACTAATGAATAAAATCTCTTCCAAATTGATTTAATAAAAAACAATGTATTTAGTTGAGTGGCGTATCTTTTAGTCACTTTTGAAATGAAAAAAAGATGACTTAATCAGCTGTTTGTTGATTTTACATATTTTTATTTCACAGTCAAATACGATAATTGATGGACTTGATTGGTGGAATTAAGAAATGTAGCGACTGATTCTGATTTGTTTTTGTGGCTCTTATCAACTCTTTCAAATACGATAAGGGATAACAGATTTGACAAACAAATTCTATAGAGCAAATCTTTTTAATAAGTGTTGGTCGTAGTTTATTTAGAAAAGGAAATGGCTCGATATTAAGACATATTTTTAGTCCCGTTTTAAGCTAATATTCTGTAGAAGATAAATGAAATATTGATGATGAAATTCAAATAGGAAGATCCTGTTCTTGGAATTAAAGAGTACAGAAAATTTAAAAATTATGTTGTTATATAAAGAACGATTCTTAAAACGCTGGCTTTTTTTACTGTTACTTTATTGCAGGCAATGTCAGAAGAAATCACTACAAAGTTGTCCAGAAAGTTGAATATATCAAACTTATTATCACTTAAATTGGTTTCTTACAAACACTCACGCCTTGTGCTCGTGCGCTCACACACACACACACACACACACACACACACACACACACACACACACACACACACACACACACGCGCGGGCGCGCGCGCGCATTCTTTATATATTTTATGTTTTCATTTGTTTGGCAAGTGTGAACCCGGTGTTGTGCGCAAAGCACATTACTTTAGAGAGCGAGGGAGAGCGCACATAGCTTACATAAATTAACAAATTAATGTTGCTACGGTAACCTTCTTCAATCTGAAACTATTTTCAGGTGGTTTTTAGCTTGAGAAAGAAGCAACATTTAATATACTTGCACAAAATAAAACTGAATTTCGTAAAGTTTGTTTATATCCTAAGAAATGATAAACTATGACACACAAGAAATACCATTGCCAATAAATGCTGTTGTACAATTGTATATTATAGAACACTTTAAAACTAACACGAGAGATTAGCCAGGAGAATGATGTTCATTTGGGACTATTTTCACAGATTTTCTACATTCACACTATAGAGATTTATTTCCACGTAAATTAAGGTGATCAAATTGAAGAAGAGGTAAATATAAGTTATCACGCTACCCTTCTAAGCTGAGCGTTGTCTAGTGCAGACCTCCTCAGAATGCCTCAAACACACTACGTTAGCAATACTTGTCATTTATGGGAACATTAATTTTAAATTAAACTTCCAACGAAATAAGTAAGGTGGAAATTTGTACCCTAACTACAATTACGTTTCCTGCAGTCCTGTAAATAGTATATTTCTGCTTATCGTCAAATGCGGTATGCCCCCCTTGGCTATCTTTTGTTGAGTCATTTATTAAAATTGGTTGCACCTATAATCCCCACTACACCTTTAATCCCCACTGCACCTTTAATCCCCACTACACAACTCTATTTGTAACAATGGTCACCGTCAGTTCCCTTTATCTGATAATTTGCATTCGTCTAACAAGGATTTTTAACTTGTAGTAGCCAACCATCATGCGTCTAGCTATATTCAAACCCGCACAATATAGTGAAAACTTGGGTATTCAAATATGCTTAGTTTGTGTCAACTAATGAAGATCATAACATTCTAAGTGCACTCATTCTAGAAGTTATCTACACGGTCGTACCTGTTGATGTAGTCCTGAAATACATAGACATGTTAATAATCAAACCAGGTCAAGGTTTTTTAGATTAGCATTTAGAATACTATTCCAATCACTTACTAAATCTATGCACCTGTTCTAAGTATTTAACATTACTTAGAAAATACAATTACAACAGTGAGAGTGTGGCACGTCGTATATTTTTTAATGAGGTTCTGTGAACCAAAAATTATAAAAGAAAATAAAAACGGTTAAATTCACTTAAAAAATAAGAACAATACAAAAATGAATATTGAATTTATTAGTGTTAACAAAAAATTCCTTGAGTCTATAATCAACAAGAAGGTCACCTTAAAAGAAACAACCCACTGGGCAGTAAGCTATGGATTTCGCTCTTTTAGATCCATTTTTGATTTACTCACTGCCATTGCACACAGATTCAGCAAGGCACTCAATAATAAAATAAGCACAAATGATTGATTTTGAGAGGCTGTGGTATAAGGATTGCTACACAAACTCTCGTTATGGTATCTGTGAAAGAGTCTTCGCAGTTATCGTCCTTCTTAGTATGATCCATAAAGGTCATTGTTAATAACCAGTTTTCTGAAACCTCACTCCTACCCTATCCTATTATAAAGAAGAATGAATAAACTCTCTGCTTAATATTATTAATAAATATCTATGAAGATGTTATCTCATTTTATGGGCGCGCCTGCAGAAATATAGATGACCAGATCCTGGCAGATGTTCTCTCCTAGGACCTCTAGCTCAATGGGGAATGAGAAGTTTGTAACATTCATTACCTCAAAAATCAAGCTAATAACCTTTCATTATCACCGAATAGACTCTGAGTTTTCTCCAGTCATCATGAATGGTTATACTCTCAATGAGGCTCCTTGCTTTGAACGTCGATTGGGACTCAAGTTCACCATAGATCTCAAGTGAAATTCATAAATACGATCCATTGCTAAAGATGCTGGAAAATGGTCGGTCCATTGTACCGCTCCAGGAAGTATCTGACCCCTGCTGTCATGATCTATCTTTACAAGATTCAGATCAGACCAAAATGGAATATTGCAATATATTTCACTGAAACTGTTCAGACCATACTTTCCAGATTTGACAGAATTTAAAAGCGTTTTCACAATCTTATGAGTGATGAATGATCTTCCACCCTACAACCCCTTTCCTAAAGACAAAACGTTGCTAGCCTCTTGTTATTTCAATGGAAAATGTTCAAACGCGTTACATTTCTTACTTCCACCAGTTTTGACACTTACAGCTAAGATCCAGCATGCTGTGTATATAGAATTGAAATATCCTTATTCTCAATCCTAAAAACTGAACCTCTTCAGGTCTCAGGGCAACTCTTATCTGCTTTCAACAACCTCAATAAGTAAGCCTCTATATTGGATGACTCTTAGATTTTGTATTCAGGGAAAAGACGTAAAAAAAGAAGAAAAATATTAAGACTGAAATTTTAGCGATTCCTTAAGAGTAAAATATAATATTTATACCAAAGAATCTGTAACTCTGAAATAATGTCAGTTGAAATTTAAAGATAGAAAAGATATGGAAACAAAAACTTTCCTTTTAGTCCACTGTAAAAACACAAAAATATAAAAACCTATTTTATCTAGAAATAAATTAAAAGAAACCCAAGCAAGTTATAACTACAGTAAGACCCAGTGTTATTAATATTATAAGATGAACGTTTCTTGCAGAAACATACTGTTATTTTATTCTTTTATTCAAACAAATGCACACAAGTTAATTGGAATATAAATATTTCATATTTTAGTAAATTTATATGTCTTACAATAAGATATACATAGTAACAATTGATTTTAGAATAAAAGCGTAACATGATTTTTTCTATATAATAGAATTCACTTTTAATTTAAACCTAATCGGTTTAATCGACTATTTTTCAGATTAATTCT